AAGTCTTCCCGATGATAACGCGAGATGGACAACTGCTCACATTGAACATTTGATATTTTTTGTACATTTATGCACGAATATCTACATGATTTCTACAACATTTTTTTGTCACAAAAGGAAATCCGGAAAAAATTTATGTCGATTCTGAACAAGATATCACCGGAAAACATGACTCAGTTGGCAGAGAGCATTACGACACTGCCATTAGATACTGACGAACAGCTAAAGACCGTCATTGATCTGTTGTTTCAAAAGGTATTTCGGAAATTCAAGATATAAATGACATATGCACACGTTTTTTTGACGATTGAATGTCGTGTGAATCGCCAGATCACGCCTTGGCAATAAACGATTTTCATATTTTATTTTCAAACAATAGGCGATCGTTGAACCCAATTTCACCCCTCAGTACGCGTACATTTGTACTGCATTGGAGGACAAAAAGGTGAAATCGGAAAAAAAAGCGGCGAAAACGTCCTTTAAAAAGTTATTAACAAAGTGTTGTAAGGACAGATTCGAAATAATGCACGTCCACGAACAGAATATGGTAAAAAGCCTCGAGGAGATAAGCCGATGCAATGATCAAGTAAAGCAAACAAATCGAATTTAAAAATCTACAATATTACATATGCTTCAATTTACCCAAAATGTTTTTTTTTTTTTTATCGACGACAAGTATATTATGCAATTCGATTGTAATTTTTCAGGAAGTCAAAAACCAACTGCAGTCTGCTTACGACCAGGACGAATTGGTCCACAGAAAAAAGTCTGTAGGAAATTGCCGGTACTGACCAATGGAATAAGAACAAAATGAATCTTAATGATTTAAAACGATATCAATTACTTTTCAGGTTCATGTGCGAACTATTCAAAGTGAAAATACTTTCGAACGGCACACTGGAAGCGTGTATTGATCACCTCCTGAAATCGCCGAATGAAGAATCATTGGAATGCGCCTGTAACATATTAAAGCACGCAGGGAGCACATTAAACACTGTAAGAATCATCTCATAATATCTGTAATATAACGGTTCGAGTTGAATTATTTTTATACACAATAAACGTTCTTGTCTAAAAATGCCATTGCAATCAAACACTATAATATCATATGTTATGTAATTATAGAAAGTTGTGTTCGGAAAATTAAAAGAATATACATCTTCAGAGTATAAAACTAAGATTTCTACCAGAATAAGGTTTATGATATTAGACATCATAGAATTAAAAGATAACAATTGGGTACCGCGGAATGCTCGTACCAAACCGGCAATATGCACCAACAAAGTGCTTACAAACGTAAAAAAACCCGAATACAAGCCATCCACGTATGTCCAATACAAACCTGCAGAGTTGCCAATGGTAAAAAAATTATATTTTTCATTTGAAAATTATTTAGTTGAATTGTATTATAAAATATATTATGCTAATATAATTATATCGTCTTTTTATTAGAGATTCGCTCATCAGTCAAATTACGCGTTAAAAGTAAAACCGCCAAACGAAACTCAAAAGGTAAATGATTGTTTTAATTTATATAAATCTAAAATGTTAACCAAGATTTTAGTATTTCGGATAGTAAAATAATACATTTTTCTCTTTCTTTTAGGACGATGAACGCAAACATAACGATTTGACAAAAGGCGCAAATATAAGCGGTTTTAATAATTCATCATCAATAGTGAGGGTTAGTGAAGCGGTAAGGGGCGAAAACACATCAGTATTGCCATTTATAAGATCTGAGACCAGTAACGCAGATAGTTACCAAAAATTGAAAAACGAAAATACTGGAGTACAAGTAAATTATATCAGTTGGACCGTGATTTATTTTCGTAATATAATTCTAAAACTCTTGGGATTATTAGATAATTGATTTTAAATAAATTAGAAAAAATACAAAAGAATGTTTTACGTTTTTACGCTTTTAAAACTAACTATCCGTATAATAACACTGTTGAAATTGCAAACTATGTAGGTTAAAAACCGCTTAAAACTCGAAGATTAGTATATGATATCATGATTATGTATACAATTCTGAATGGTGTTATCGACTATCCTGAATTACTACAAAAAAAGAATTGTATAGATAAAGATAGTATAGAAATAACTTACTAATAGTCCGGTGCACCGCCGGACTAATTATTTATTTAATAATTATTTCGACTACTGTTATAAATTAAAAACTTGTGTTTATAATTTATAAATGGATATTTAATTTAAATCAATTGTATTTAATTATTCTTAATTTAGCGATATTTAGTTACACATACTATACTCTTACCTTTTGGGGTGTTAAATATGTATTTAATTTAAATAAATATTATTATTATTATTATTATTATTCGATTAGGCGGTCCGGGAAGAATTTCGAACCATTCTCGACAACATTACAACAGAAAATATGATTTCATCAGCGAAAAGTATTACTTTATTGCCGATTAAAACGAATGATTGCCTAATAAGTGTTGTTGAAGATTTGTTTCATAAGGTATATATTTTCTATTTTTTTTTTTCACCCAGAAAATATGCATGCGATCATATCATACTATACTTTATGTTAGTTCAACATATTATTTTGAGACTATTCAAACATAGTTAAATATTTTTAAAAGGCTCTAGACAAACCAGAATTGATACCGCAATACGTTCACATTTGTTCGGCTATGAAAAACAAGGAGATTCAGTCGGAAGACTCCAAGAAAACTATTTCGTTTAGGAAACTTTTAATAAACATGTGCCAAGAGACGTTCGAGTCGATGTACAACCGAAAACGTATTTTGACCAAAGAACGGATTGAAATTGAATCTTGCAAAAAACAAAGTATAAATTACATACTATTAGAGATTCAATAAACAACAATGTTATCTCGTTGATTTGTTATATTATGGGATAAGTTTCATAAACATATATTTATGTGTATCGTTACAGAAAACTAGGCATGAACTGCAATCGAAATTCGATAAAAATGAAATAGATCATAGAAAGCGTTCAGTGGCAAACTGCAGGTAACTACTTACTACATCCGATAATTTATCAAATAGTTATAAAAATTGTGACCGTATTGCTTACAGATTCATATGTGAACTTCTAAATTTGAACATCTCGGTACCACCGATACTAGAAATGTGTTTAGCGAAACTAATAGAGAGTAAAAAAGAATTACCTTTAGAATGCGTATGTATCATATTGCAACACGTTGGGAGTACGATAAATCATGTAAGTTTCGTCAGACCGTAAAATCATTAATTTTAAATCGTATTCCAAATAAAACTTAACTAGCCCAACATAATACGTTGAATACGTTTATATTAATCATGTGTTAACAATACAATTGTAGAGTGGCGTGTTGGAGAAGCTGTGGGAATACTCAAATACGCACAAGACAAAATTTTCACCGGGCTTACGGTCAATGATCCTAGGCACGCTGAAGATGATGAACCCCGACATTCCACAACCTCCCGTAGATGAGTCACCGTCGACGGACGAGACAAAAGTAGGGACTTCTTTCGTAGAACCGTCCGTAATTAATAATAAAACTACTAAAATATTGATATGGTTTTCTATAGATTAATACCCAAACCGAAAAAGAATCGGACATGAGAAATAAACCATTGACAGAAGATGGAACAGTATTTCATTATTCTAAATCAATATTAACTCATAAATTTAATTTTTATTTCGTTGAATAACGAATATATTTATTTTCACTAATTAGATACTATAATAAAGTTTTTGTATTTCAATATATTTTTATTTATTTATGATAAATGATTGAACACTATTTAAAATAGATAATTTAATATATTTTCAGTTACAAGTTTACAGTACCGTTGAAACGATAATTAACTCCATAACTGCGAACAATAAGAACACCAAAATAAATGAGTTGTCTGTACATCTAAAGAATGTGGATGTGATGGAAAGAACAGTCGACTTTCTGTTCGAACGGGTATTGTTATTATTAATATTTATTTGATTTTTAAAAAAGAAAAAAACAATTGTTTATATGCAATTTTATTACATTTTCCTTTAAATCAGCTGTACGATGGACATAATATTTTTTAATTTGTTTTAGGCAACAAAGTATCCCGAAACTATTCCAGAATTGGTAAGCGTGTGCTCTTCGTTGCGGGATGTTTCAACAAGTGGTGCGGTAGAAGGGAGAAACATTAAGCCTACTTCGTTGAAGAAACAGATCGCGATCCGGTGTAACAAGCTATTGCTGTCTGGGGTTCAGAAGAGTACAAGTGAAAACGATTTCACGCCCGTACAATCGTACACGTAATAATTGTCGCTCACTGCCTTATGATTTATATAGTTATCAGAAAGATAAATTAATAATTATTTATGTATAATAAATTAAGATTCATCGGCGAATTATTCAACGAAAACTTATTATCAGCCCATATTCTAGAAGAATTTTTAAAAATTGTACCGGAAAAACTGTCGAACAACACATTGGAAAATATTTGTGGCCTGCTAAAAGTGGCCGGGAAAAAAATAGAACAAGTAATTGAACAAATCTTAGTTGAATAACTATATTTTATAGATCGCGGATTAAAATATTGCGTATGCGTTTGTACTATTCCAGGGGTACAGTTTGAAAAAAATACTCAGGAGACTGAAGGATAGGATTTCGAATGACGCAGATGGAATATTTTCCCGACGTAGCGTTGTGCTTCTGAAAGCACTTGCAGAACTATGGGACAAAAAATGGGTCTCGTAGTACAATAGTGTCAAAGAAAATACCTTTTATTTCCATTGGCTTATCACATATGAGGAAATATTACATATCCTTACATAAATAATTTTAAAATCCACATATCCTCAAACGAAATAAGAACATTCATTTATTTAAAAATAATAGCTGTTACCCCATCATGAAAATATTAGAAATTAATATTTTTTTTTCGTTGTTATTTTTCAATTGTAATTTTCACAATACTTATATAATTTTGGTTTTTACTCCTTGATCACTAAAAAAAAATAACTTTACAGATTTCTTCATTATATACATGTTAATACTGTCGTATCGTGTAAGGTATTTTTAAAATAACATAACGTAATCTACGTAAATATCCGATGATTATTATCTGAGTTTTAGGTATTTCGATTTCTAGACAAGGGGTATGAATATTATTTCTATAATTATATTCTATTGTATATTTATTAAAAGTTCTAAATATGGATTATTATTAATAGGTTGCTTATACATTACGCTTTAGATTACTGCAATCGTTGAATACCGATACGAATTTATAATATCCGAATAGAAGATACTGTTTGTATCGGAATTGAACGATTGTAGTAATCCAAGGCGTTATGTAAAAGCAATCTATAAATGATAATTTATATTTATAACTGTTAATAAATATAAAAAAAAATATATAACTAAAAATATGTTCATACCCATTGTCTAGAAATTGAAATATCTAATACTCAGATAATAATCATTGGATATTTACGTATGTTAACTACATTTTTTTGAGCTTATACGATGTAACTATATTGGAATTTGTATAATGAAAAAATTGGAAAATTATAACAGTTTATGGATAAGAGGTGAAAATAAAAATGATATATTTACATGGTGGGACATTTTGTATTGTCATTACTAGATATAAAAAAGCTTGAAATTTCTTATTTCATAAATAAATAATAAAAAATGTATTACAACTTACGTCATTTAAATTTTTAATTCTTAAAAATTTTTCCTTTTCTGAAAAACACGTATAACCATTAATCGTTATTTATTATCTAGAATTGTTCATATGTTTAACTGTTGCTCACACAATACACTCGTATAATGATAATACATATATGTTATGGCCATTCTCTTAGAACAAATAGGCGCACTGATCAAAACATCACGATAAAAGTCAATCAATCCAAATAAAGTGCAGTTAACTCCAGTCGAAGATGAATAGACGAGTCCCATGTATAAATTAGAACGGTTTACCTAGGAGGGGTATAATATAATATATGTAATATTTGGACTTCTAATTCGTAATGACTATTTTAGGAACGAATGACTTATTGTGTGAGCCATCGAAATAACTTGATACGATTAAAAAACTGGACTCAGAATGCAGATTACTCTTATGGAAAGTTATTGTAGGTTTCAAAACTTACTATTCCAGTTTGGACGTTGAACGTTATGCTATTCCGCGTCATTGTGGCCTACCGAAGAAAACGGTTATTATAACAGATGTGATATGACCAGATAGTTTACTAGTCGGTACAGGAAATTACTTATATACCGGACGATTTAACGACATTGACATAGTCTTCAATAATCCTTCAAACAGTTAAAACCTACATACACCGACTGCAGAAGGAATCAAGACATCGAATACCACACCAAGAGCCATCGGCATAGCGGCGAAGACACTCGTTGATACAATACGGCAACGAACGACCATAGCACTTTTATCTACACCATGGACGGAGTTTATCGGCGTAGCTGCCAAGACACTCGTTGACACGAGGTGGCAATTAATGATCAAGTTCATATTACTACAACGGGACACGGTTTTCCGATACTGAAGCTCGCGTACAGTTATCAGCGGTTTTACACGCGGTTTTTGTATCGCTCCGGTCGATCTACCATCGCGACCGATAAGAAAAGGTTCTTTCTAGAACCATTGATCTAATCTCTTACCTTGGTGTGTCTGCTTGGGTATTCACTGTGAGATTATTATCAACCTGAACACGACGGATTTAAGTTATAAACGAACGTGATTATACAGAAAAACAACCAAGTGTATAATTATGCATTATTCACGATCACGGGACGTCGGAAATCGAGGGACCGTATCAATATTTTTAAATAATAATAAAAAAAAACGATTATTTTGATATGCGCACAGACTACACAATTTAAATAATCGAGACAAAAATAATACAACATTGATATTTTAAGTAGGTCAAATCCTCAAAGGACTGGTTCAAAGTCCATCTCTCCATACTCCCTTTTATATCATTAGCACAACATCATGTAACCCGGCTTCTACCCATAATGCAGACTAGTGTGTTGGTCGTAGGTTCGCACCGACCGCTGGGAAACTTCATGGAGCTTCTTGAGACAAGTTTTTACTACGATCGATTATTTCACATTTAACTTAATTTTACGATTCGAGTGTTCTGTGCGAGTATCAGAAAGTGTCCAGCATAGTCCACTATAGCCTGTGTTTCTTTCACTTAATTTAAACCTCACTCTACCCTTATAGTATTTATGAGTGACCGGCTCATCAACACCCGAGTATCTACTACGGAACAACTAAGTGTTGTTTTATTTAGTTTACAAAACTGTCCAGTTGCTTTGATCGGGTTTTGAATCATTATAATCTGGAAAGCCCTCCTTTAAAAAAAAAGGATGGTAATCAATCCAAACTCACCGTCTAACTACTCAACTTCTATTTTTCCCTTTTCAACTTGTCCGTCATTTTTTTCTTTTTCTTTCATTTTGGAGGTAACTGATGCATTCGTCAAGACACTTCAAAATTATAAGGAGTTTTCAAGAGGCCAGTTTTGTCAACATATATTAACTATAGATCAGTTAAACTCCTGACTCCCCTCCCTACAGATCACTAATAAGAATTGTAAAAATTCTACTTTCAAGAATATTTAGCCTAATTAAATGAACAAATAGTGAAAATCGAAAGTGAACACTAATTTTATTAGTTGTCTAGAACAGTGTTTCCCAACTGGTGTTCCGCGGAACCTAAGGGTTCCGTGAACTTGAGCGAAGGGTTCCGTGAGAAATTTGGGAAAATATAAATTAATTAGCAATATTTAGATTTGAACATAGAACTCAATATAAAACTGGAATTGACACATTTCCCGATGTGTGGTGCGTAGTTTGTAGCTTTTCGGCGTATACAAAGACTAAGAATAAGTTTCAAAATCTACTGAACGCGGCTCCGGACTTACAAATCCAACTTTCAAGTATAACTCCAAATTTAAAAACAGTTATGAAAAGATTCCTATCTTCTCATTGAATCTATCTTAGAGGTAATGAGAGACAAATATTAAATTTTAAGCTTTGATATGTACGAGTACATTTATAATATTGTAATAGTAATAAACAAAATAAAATGTTAAAGCCGTCTTGTTTTTTTTATATTAATGACATTTTTGTGCCGGAAGTGTCCAGTAACCCACTCATTTAAGTATACAAAACATATGTCTGTATTAATATTATAGAAAAAATATTGGGGTTCCACAAAACGTTCAATCTCCTGTTAAGGTTCCGCGGGTAAAAGAAGTTGGGAAATACTGGTCTAGAATATATTATTAGCGAACAATGGATGGGGAGAACTAAACTCTACTATGATATCTCAAGTAATCGATAGGTTTTATTGTAAAACAAATGACATTTGTAATACGTAACGTAACGCAAAAGAATATAACTGGAGCTTTGAGGGTGGTTCGTTGACGTTAAACTCAAGTAAATTACGGCAGGTGCGTTCGTTTCTTTTTTTTATTTTACTTTATATTATATTATTATTTTTGCGATTCCTAAAACACTGTAATATAATTATTATTCTTTTATAATTAAAATAGTACTAAAAAATCATAAAGACTATTAAATGCTGGTATTTTATAGAAGTTGAATTAAAAATGAGTTTATTAAATTATAAGTTGTGTAAATTTACATAAAACAATGATTTATACAATATTATTAATATAGTTATTTACATTTTAATGTTCTTGCTCGATGTACAAGTATTCCTAACTACGGAAGGAATTCGAAGTGCTGGTCGAATAAGCTTCCCAAGAGCCTGTTTTTAGAGCTTCCTGGAAGTTTCCATGAAATATACAAGAAAATGTATGATCTTTAAACGGAAGCCTTTAAAACGTTTTTTAATAGGAAACTTTAAATAGTATATTATTTTAATCTTTACCGGAACTTCCAATGAGAGGTTTCCAAAATGTTTAAATGTCCAAATATTAAACAAGATAGGTACAATACATGATTATCCATATTACACATAATCGTAGAATCAAAAGTACCTCGAGTATACTATCATTTTTTGCGTGCACACGATTGTAGCATACAATAAAATATACCTAGACTACCGTGAAAAAAAAATTAATTTTTATTTTCACTTGTTAACTCGTAAATCGTGTCGGGAGATTGGGAACTTAATCGAGATATTTTCATGAACTATAATGTATAATGTATAATTTTCCTATTTAATCGGGTATTAATAACGTTGTAACAATTTCCAACTCACTGTTGTTTTATATTAACAATTAAGAACACATTTGATACAAATGTAGGACCGGAGAAAACACTGCCGTTTCTTGTCTGGATATATTTCGCATTACGACCGATCGATCGTATCGACCGTCAAAGATCAAGATCCACGTTATTGTTTTCTAATTCTTTTATCCTCTGGTGTTTGGTTTTTATGATCTCGTCATGTCGATCTCCTTTTTCAACGATCGCTTATCCTCTTCTTGCCGATTCTGAGGGACGAACAGCGAACGTGACGTTACATATGAACTACTACTATTCAGTGGCGGCTCGTGGGTTTTTAATGAAATAGTACACATCCAAAAAAAAAAAAAAAAAAAAAAATAACCAATATAATATATATATATTATAAATTGTATTAAATAATTGTTTTCAAATTTTAGTTATTTACCAATTACTTTTTCTTTTGCTTATACCTATTTTTACAAGTATAATAATAATAAATACATAATAATAATAATAATACATTTTCAAGTAAAAATACTATGATAAAGTAAATACAAATTATTATATTTCAGGTACATGTTTATATGTTAAATCGATTCTCCTCTCTTTTTTTTCTGCAAATCTGTTAATTACTTCTTCGTTGAAGTTTGGAATGTTATTGAT